AGGCCCAATGTCTCTCTTTGTATGAAATTGGATCATTTGTTCATTTTCAAGCTCAAAAAATAAAATTTTAGTAAGAATTTGTATAAAAATAATAATAATAATAATTCGATTAAAAATGGGAAAAATCGAAAACTGAATCGAAATTGGTTCAAACCAGATGGCCAATTTCAAAAAAAAAAAAAAAAAAAAGAAATCACTGAAATCGGACAGAACTGAACTGTTCCAAACCAGATTGCGTCCACCCCTAAGACAAACCATGAAACCAACATACCCAAAAAAAAAAAAAAAAATACAGCCATTAATACATTATGTCGTTAATGCATAATGTCATAATACATCAATTAATGCATTTGTAGCGTGGGTACTTCTTTTCTCCGATCAAGTGTAGCATGCATACTTGAACATGTAAGAAGATTTCAATGGTACAATTTTATTGTTATTGAATTGATCCATTTTATTTTATTTGAGTATGTAAAAGAACATGTAAGAAGATATAACTATTGAAATGTATCATTGCAAGTAAAATTACAATTCAATGTAATAGATGCCAAAGTAGTTCAATTGATTGAATTATTGAACAACCATTGTGGATGCTCTTAATATTATTAGGGATAAGTAATATGTCAGTAACAAAAATGTATCGACTACAAACAATTCAAGCAAACAATTCCCCAAGTATGGACTAGGAATTGTTGGGGATTATGTGCCATGTTACGGGATAAAATTGAAGTTTTTATACTCGATTACATTTTTTTTCATTTTTCTAATAACTTTTTCTTTAACGAATAAATGTAGCTTTACAGAGAGAGAAATTTCAAGCAAACAATTCCCCAAGTTAAAATCGAAGATGATGATGAGGAATGTAGACATGAAAAAGCCACCGCTGCATTCAAAAGGGCTGCTGCCTATTGGTCTACCTTGCAATCACCACACGGCCATTGGCCGGCTGAACATACTGGTCCTTTGTTTTATACTCCTCCCGTTGTGAGTTGTAACTCTTTAAATTTGTTTCCACAATATGCAAGAGCATACTACTTTTGTCAAACTCCCAAAACAAAGTTTTTTTTTTAATCTCTTAACTGCAAAAGTATGATGTGTAGATGAAATTGATGTATTTGGCCATCTGGGTTTCGGAGCAATTAATTCCCCCTTTTTTTCTTCTCTTTTGTTTCTTCCCTTAAAATGCAGGTTATGGCCCTGTATATTACGGGCCATCTTAATATGGTTTTCTCTGCAGACCATCGTAAGGAAATGGATTCTTGATCATGGTGGTGCAACACACTCTTTATCTTGGGGAAAGATTTGGATGGCAGTATGATCATTTCTAACAAATTTATAATCTTCTTCTCATATGATTACCATTATAAGTTTGTTAGAATAGATCATACTGCCATCCAAATCTTTCCCCAAGATGAAGAGTGTGTTGCACCACCATGATCAAGAATCCATTTCCTTGCTCTTGCACAAGCATTGTCTAGACCACCATCGGGTCCTTCGCCAAGTAGACGCATACAAATGTAGTTCAGAAGTGTACAAAACATCATACTATGGCCCTCTATGTGTAATCCCCACCCACCATCATACTATGGCCCACTATGTCTCCGATCTTGACTATATATATAGAGATATTTAATGTGAAGTACCTGCATTCGCCAGAGGATGTCATGCAGGGCTTGACCTTGTAACGATTGTTGTAAAAGTTTTGACGAGCCTCTTCAACCTCGGCTCGCTCGAGATGTGCCTACATGAGGATCAAACTCCCATGTCTGCCTTCCCACAAACTCGTTTGTGCTGAACAAGTAAGGGTCAACATTTTCACCCTCTGCTCCAAACTTCAACTTCCACATTTTTAATTCTTGATGATCTCAATTAATTTGACTGAGATCACTAGAGACTACGTATAATCAATGTTGTTGTACACTTCCTAATGAAGAACTACCAAAAAGCTTTTGGTTGGGAACTTTCTCAAGGGCTCTTAAACCATTTACAATGCTTGCATTGTTAGTGATCATCAGTATATGAGAAGCCCCCATATATATATAGAAACTCCCCAACCCACAGGCCACGTACTTTGCTCTGTAGTTAATTTTTTATTAGTCTACCTCTATGATTAGTAAGGCTATGTTAAAAAGACTCAACTCTGCCCAACTTCCTCAAGATCTATCTACCTAATTCTAGCTAAAAAGAAAGATTAGATTAGGGCTTCTTAGATATAGGTCGATTTTCATTGAGATGTAATGAATGCAGTTCACACTCTCTCCTTTTTCAATTGCAGTCCACTGTTACCAATAAGCAATTAAGGCCAGTTTGGCATGTTAGATTTGCTGTGAGAGAAATCAACTGTGAGATAAAACAGTTTGGCGTTTTGGTACAACTTTTTGTTAAAAGAGTGGTTGGTACTGATTTCTGCATAATCAGAAAATGATTGCTGCATAATCATTAAACCCAGCGCTTCTTTGAAACTGATTCCTGCATAATCAGAAATTGAAAGTACCTCATAAGCTGCTTTCCCTTATTACTTTCTTTCACAACAATTTTTAACAATAAGTGATTTTCTCATAGTTTACCAAATGGGCTGGGCTTTCCCAAATTTAAAAAAAAATCACTTATCACCCCAAAATAAACAATGTCAAATGGACACTTAGTATGTCCATAAAATTTTAGGAATTTATAGTATATGCCTACCATAAATGGAATTATATGAAAAAACTTTCCTAAAATTCAGCGTTTCTTTATATATATATATGTGTGTGTGTGTGTATGTGTGTATGAGTTTCCTTATATATAAGGTATTTCTTTATATATATAATGTGTTTCCTTGTGTATATACACACACACATATATATATATATATGTACCTACCTTAATAGTTTTTTCTTGAGTTTTCTTAAGCAATTTTTTTTAAAGCTTCCTATATATATATATATGTATATATAGAATTTCTGTATATAAGTTATTCTCTTATTTGGATGTCATCACATTATTATAATGCGGATGTCATTGTGAATTGGGAGGAAAGCAGGGAGGGGTAGTAGAAAATACTTAGTGTTCCCACGATAATAACGTTCGGACGTCCGCATAGAAGAATTTCTGTATATATATACACACACCCACACACACGCACATACCTATCTTCCAGGTAATAGTTTTTTTCTTGGGTTTTCCAAAGCAATTTTTATGGAGTTTTATCTCAACATACTCAAGTTGAGTACCTGTTGTGGACGTGCGAGTTTCTTTTTCCTTTTTCTATAACCTTTTATATGGGTACTTTTTTACTTTAATTATGAGTTTAAAGATCCATACCAAATGTATTATATGAGTTCAATTACCTAGACTTGAGGCAATTTATGGGTATAATTATGCACACAAGTGTTGGCTTTTGGGCTAGAGGTAACTTATGGATTTAATTACAGAATTAGGTGATCCAATATGTACCCCAGCTAATGCTTATTCTATTAATAACGGAATTACCTCTAAAAGAAAAGGCACTCTTACAATTATTGCCGCCGCTTAGTCTAAATATAGAACATTTACAACTAAAACAACAAAAGATATTGTGTTAACTTGCCATATACTCTGCTCCCTCACCAAATCCACCTACATTTTTCACCATTCTTCTGAAAAAAAAAAAACCCACGAATATTTGTTCCCTCAAAGTGGTATTGCTATACCTTTACTTTTCTTTTTGTTTTGTTTTGTTTTTGGTTGATCTTCTGCCTTTTGCTTTAAAATTTTATTGAATTAAAACTAATTTCTACTCCTTATACTCTAACAGAAATGAATGTGAATATACTGTGTACCTTTGGTCGAACTCCCAAAAAGAACTATAATTTGAAGGAGAGAGTTGTGTGGTCAAAATGTGCTTGTGTATGTAGTGCGCAACAAGTGCTCTTATATGTGGGGATGGCAAAAAATTTCATGCATGTCGTGCACGGATTTAGATGACTTAGAGCAGAAGAAATTAAAGCGGGGTCACAAGAGAGTGAGTTGGAAATCTTCATAAGATTTCAAGATGTTTAGGATTAATGAAGAAGAGAAAAACTTTGCCGGGCCAATTGTGTTGCAGGGTTTTGTTCAGTTTGTGCAGTTTCTTCTGCTCTATATATTGGTTGATTGTGTTGTGTGCTTCTCTAGCTTGCTTTTCGGTGCAAGCAGTTTACTGGGAAAACTTGTTCCCCATTGGTTAAAAGCTAAAATAGAATAAAAGATGTGTAGGATACGTACATACATGAAGGGTGATCGAAATTGAATGCAATGGAATGAGCAACCTAATCTACATCTGCCATATTGCATTGACTTTATAAAACTTTCATCGTATATTAAAAAAGTTAGATATGAGTTGATCGAAATTGAATGCAATTGAATGCAATGGAATGAGCACACTACCTTGACCTAATCTACATCTACCGTATTGCATTGAAACTTTGAGAAGTGAGTTGGTGCTTCTAGAATTATTACTTTTTTCTAATAAAACTTAAGTAATTTTGAGTTTGCCATCTTGGTGGTGAGCATACACCAGATTAAGAATAAAAACTTATATGAAATGTCGATAGCATTATTTTGCTAATCCTTAGTCAATCACGCTGCTAAATGAAAAAGTTATTACGTATGACATAGCGTGATTGGCAAATGATAGCAAAATAATGTTATCCTCTTTACACACAAGTTTTTCTCCAGATTAAGAGGTGAGCAATGGTCAAGTCAATTTAGTAGTGCACAATCCATTCGTCGTTGAATTGTCAAAGTAAAAGAAGTTCAATTCATTGGGCTGGACAGGAGGCAGCAGAGAAGAAGCATCTTGCTTTCTTTTTGGGGCTAACAACACTTCGAAAAAAGATTGACAACTTGCATTAATTGATAACCAATAGAGTTGGAGAATTTTGAATTGTATTTAGACTCCAAGTCCAATTAGACTTCTTGGGATAACCAAAAAAAAAAGAAAAAAAGAAAGAGAAGTTCCAACTAGACTTTTACTAACTACGGCTACGACTAATTTGCCACTGAATGGATACTTTTCATAAGAAGAAAAAAAGGACTTCATTGTATCATGTATGTGCTTGCTATACACGTATTTTAATCACAATTAGGTTCCTAATTATACGTAGCCCATCATGCTTTGATCTACTGATACACGCAACGTGGCTGAAACTGGCACGTCGGATTCCACCGTCACACGATTGCTTGACACGTTTCGTAGAACATGCTTAGGAAATGACTTACTTGCATGCAATGTGTATTGCACATTTTGTATGAGATCAGGGAAGAGGAGAAGTTTTGAGAAATCAACGGTCCATCTAGTCCCATTGCTCCAAACTGACCCCTTGGCAACCGTTGATTTAAGAACCATGCCCTGTACTACATTTCGGTCAACCATGACTTGATCAATGGTAGTAAAATACTGTCCGTTAGATTGATCTAGTTGGACGATTGGGACACCCGTATAATCACCTGAAAACATATTGTCAACAATACTAATGCCACATGCCACACCCTTCAGCGATTTAATCAAAATAAAGGCATTGCCAAGGAAGAATGACCCCGCTATATGGAGCTGGACCGGGTCCTCCGCCACAATACCCGTGAAATCAAAGTAGGAGTTCAGTATTCGAGTCTGGGTCAACCCGGGAGCCCGAACATAAATTCCGGTCCCACCCCATGTAGTGGCCTTGTTATAGCAATGTACCCCAGTGAGCACATTGGCTTGCCCTTGTACCATTACACCAATTGATGCTGAAAAAATTACCACATCGGTGATTGCGTTATCATTTCCTTGGATGTTAATTCCAATACCAGAAAAGTTCCTTTCGCGGTGATCACCGCCAATATTGATGTGTTGGCCGATAAAGGAGTTTCTAACATAGGTTTCATGGCCACCTTGGATTAGTATACCACTGGTGGTGAAATGTGAAATGTAACAATTGTCAATGGTACTTCTTAGTGAATTTATAACTGCAATGCCACCACCTCTGAAATTTGAGTTTATCATGAGATCCTTGAGTGTAATGTCTTCGTACACAAAAGCATTCGAGGATGACCACAACTCGATCAAATGGCGATCGGTCGGGAAATCATCAGATGCATGAAGGGATCCACCATGAATCTGTAACACCATAACAATATCCCATGAGACTATGGACAAAATAAAATTTTAAAAATATAAACATGAAATATGAAATCAACTTTTTTTATTTATTATTATGACATGAGGGAAATCGAATTATACATCTTTTAGCATTAATTAGGAAGATAATTATTACTAAACTAAGAGCTAGTTGGTTGCAATCAATTACATTAAATAAAATTTCTTAAGTATATACCGTTATTATAGATATGAGCTTAGCCAAGTTGGATAGAACGGATATGCTCCTCACTCTGCACCTGAGTACGAATTCCCCTTTCCGTGATTTAAATTAATTTAACGTAGATTATCGGTTTATAAAAAATATAAAAAAAATTAATAAGTCTGATACTAAACTTAAAATGTTAAGGCTACCCCATATAGTAATTACGTATTTCATCCAACACACTCCATCCCATTAAAACACACACAGTGAGTTCATCTATATGTACTACTAATTGAGATAATGTGTTAGAAGGAATACCATAAAGTTTCGACCACAAAAAAAAAAAATTGTACCATAAAGTTTCCACCACCGGCGTCTGGTAAGCGCAATGGACGGCTGATCTTGTACGTGCCTCCATCAAGGTGAACTTCAGTGCCTCCAAGGTCAGCAACACCCGTAATCAGGTGACCATCAAGAGGAGATGCAAAGGCAACAGAGATAGCTTCCTGAAGTGCCCCTGTGCTGTCCAATCTTCCAGTGGGGTCAGCACCATACTCAGTCACGTGATGAACACGTGAGCCCGAGGACACCTATGAATCACATATGAACAACATCATATATATCTGATCATTTCGGAAAATTAATCAAAATAAGCCAAACCCAATTTTTATTTTCTATTTAAAGAAAAAATAACAAACTATGGACTTCGCACCTTATTTTGGATAGTATGTGATGCCTTCATCATCAAAGCCATGCGCTTCATTTGGTCGTGGTAAGTATCATCAGCTGCCCCTGCGTATGAGCTTTCTCCATGATTAACCATTACATTTAGATACATAAACCACATTAAGAGCTTCACTAACATAGCATTTGGTGGTAGCATGGCTTTCTGTTTAGAGAGAGAGAGAGAGAGAGAGAGAAATGTATGTAGACTCTCCATCTCAGCCAACATCTTATATATACTGGCTAACATTCATACTAATCTTTGAAAGATACTTTCCTGGCGGAAGCCAAAAAAATCCTAGACTCCGAGGTCATCCTAGGCCTACATGTAGTTCCGCTGCTAATTATAATGATTTTGAATTCGTTTACTTTCTTTGAAAAAGATAATAGGAGGATTAAATTTGTGTACGTAAATTAGAGATGACCGAATTAATGAATTAATTATGACCTGATTATATCAACACTATTTGAGATTTGAATTTATAGAGTGCCCCAAATGTTAGGCAATAATTAATCAATGAAAGAGAAAATTGAACTTGAAGTTTGACTAATTGATGATGAGCGCGATGAGTCCTGGGCAAATTAAACTTGAAGCACACGTTTACAATTCATGTCACACTTTTCACAAAACAGTTGGTCCGTATGATCTAATTTCTAGTCATGTGGTGTGTACACTCCTGGGGCAAGAAATACCGGTGCAGCAGCGGGGAAGTTAGGCCTGAGTTGCTGCAAATATCTTCAGCTATTGCTTTCATTGTTTCTTGGTCATTTGGGTTTTCAACTTCAAACTTGACCGCAACAAAAGCCACCGGGGTTTTCAACCTTGATAGGCCAGGCCAGGCCAGCTCTGTTTTCTCTCCATCGTTTTAGTCGTTTTCTTCACTTCTCTTTGGTATTACGTTTCTACTGAATTTGAAACTATAGAATGTGTGGTGCATATGTTCCATGATTATTTTTTTTTCTTCAGAGAGAAATTTTATGTCATTAGGGTTGACGAAAGTCGTATATATCACTGTGCATGTGATGAAAGTCGGTGGAAGAAGTTGATGGGTGTGGAGCAAAAACATAGGAGAGTGAATAATGGTGAAATTACTAAGTTAACCTTCAATTTTAATTTTATTATTAAATGGACTTGATTGATAAAAGAACAACTGATATTTGATACTTTTTAGTTATTGACAAAAAGAGTTCTCTTGAATAACCTTATTTATGTCAAAAAAACAAAAAAAGGATAATAGTAAGCTGACATATTGCAATTGTTTTTCAAAGTTTTTGAGAGATTTTTACAAATAAACAGGAATTGGTTACACAGTTTTGATAGCGATTTACTTAATTTAGGAAAGTGGCAGACTTGAGAATCTAGCTATTAGAACACCGTTATTTTTTTTTGGAACCAAAACAAAACCATTATTCTTGTTAGTACTTGTACTACTAATTTTTCTGATTTCTAGCTAGCAATTAACCCTTGCATTTGATATAGTCCTAAGAATTTAAAACCCATCATAAACCATAAAACAAAAAATCTAAAACCCACCAATAGGTTGATTAATTTCCTGTTTTAATTCATGAGAGATATCTGGGAGAAAATAAAACATTATACAAGCTCAAGGAAAGCATGATCAATCATCACAATCTATAATTGGCAATACAACGTTGCCCACAATATATAGCAAAACAACATTTCCAATTGAAAGGCAGGCCTTACATCTCTCCTGTCTAAAACTCAACCTCTATCTAACACACAAAAACAACCCTTTTGCGCTGTCTTGTGTGCACACTAATTAGACCTTGTCAATTTCATGGACTATGGTTTCCTAATTTCTTCCAATATCATCCCCACCCCTCTTCCTCTTCTCTGGTTTTGGCCCCTTCACGCCCACCCTTTTGCATGTCCTCTAATTCCCATTTGCCACACCAATACCAAAATCAAAAGCAAAGACAGAGAGAGAGAGAGGGAGAGAGGTTTTAGTTCATTCAAATTGATAGAAATCAGTTTAGTTTCTGATAAGTAAGCTGGGGACCCTTTTTGGTTTTCACAACAACGCATGGTAATGGGCGCGCATATGGCTATGGCTAGGCTTATGCGCGCACCAAACCCTACCCCAACATTTTTTGTTGCTCTATTCATTGCCGTGCTTTCATGCATGGTCATGCTACCTTTTGGTTCACCAATGGCTACAACCACTCAAGCCCTTATGAGGTTCAAGAAAACGTTACAATTGGGAAACGAAAGTGCCACTCTTAGCAGTTGGGATCCTAACGAAGACCCGTGTAATGGTAACAAGGTGAATTGGGTTGGTGTGCTTTGCTTCAATGGGAATGTGAGGGGTTTGCAGCTTGAAAACTTGGGTTTGCAGGGAAAGCTTGATTTGGAGCCTCTTACTCAATTGCCTTATTTGAAGACCCTAAGCTTCATGAACAATAGTTTGGCTGGTCCATTGCCTGAGCTTAAGAACCTAAAGTTGAGGTCTTTGTATTTGTCTTATAATCATTTCTCAGGTGAGATTCCTGATGACGCATTTGAGGGCATGATTTTGTTGAGGAAATTGTATTTGGGGAACAATCAGTTTACAGGCAAAATCCCTTCTTCCCTTACCACGTCGCCTAAGATTTTTGATGTGGGGCTTGAGGGGAACAAATTTAGTGGCCAAATACCAGATTTTCGACAGAAGAGTCTGAAGAGGTTGAATCTAGCTAACAATGAATTGGAGGGTCCAGTTCCAGAAGGCCTAAGCAAGCTGGATCCAAGTAGTTTTTCAGGTAAGTAATTACAAATGTACATTCATGCATGAGATTTCTTCCCATATGTGTAGACTGATTTATTTTGAATTCAAAGAAAAATATGGATGACTATGCAATGCATGCCTTACAATGCAAGTAATCTGGTATTAGGATAATTTTTCATCAAAAGCATCACTGTTTATTTATTTAATTTCCTGTTGACAAAATGTAGGCAATGGAAAACTATGTGGTCCACCTCTAGCGGGAAAATGCAGCGACCCTCCTCCTCCTGCTTCTCCTCCTCCTTCAGCTCCGCCATCTGAATGTTCTGGGGACTCATGCGGCACCTCTAAGAAGCCATCGTCGGGTCTAAAAATAGCCCTGATTGTGATGAGTATATTGCTCCTACTGGCCCTCATTGCTGTGATTTTGATTTTTCTCAACAAGAAAAGGCAACAATCAGAATTAGACGTGGCCGAATCATTGGACGACTCGGCCTCCAAGTACACGGCAGCTGGTGGGAGCAGCCAAATGGATGTTAAGTCGGTAGAAGCTACGCCACATCCAAAGAAGGGTGACCTTGGAAAGTTGTCATTTGTGAGGGATGATAGGCAGAAGTTTGATTTGCATGACCTGCTTAGAGCCTCGGCTGAGATCTTAGGGAGCGGGACGTTTGGGGCTTCCTACAAGGCTCTGATCATGACTGATGCTGTGGTCGTCAAGAGGTATAAGCAGATGAACAATGTGGGAAGAGAGGAGTTCCATGAGCACATGAGAAGGCTTGGGAGATTGACACATCCAAACTTGTTGCCTCTGGTGGCCTATTATTATAGAAGGGAAGAGAAGCTCTTGGTTTCTGACTTTGTGGAGAATGGTAGCTTGGCCTCTCATCTTCATGGTGAGTTTTTTGGCTTCTTTTTTGTCACAATTAATAAAAGTTAGATTACAGTTATATGCATGCTTCAAACATAGTCACGTGAGAGATGTGATCAGCAATGCAGTCATTAAATACGGTACAAATACTTTTATTCATCTATATTGAAATAACATCATCCATGGTGGAGTTGCTTTTGTACAGGCAATCACAATTCAGATCAGCCTGTGCTGGACTGGCCAATCCGTTTGAGAGTAATCAAAGGCATAGCCAGGGGATTGACCTACCTCTACAGCGCACTCCCTAGCTTGGTTGTACCCCATGGCCATCTGAAATCCTCCAATGTACTTCTAGATGAAAACTTTGAGCCCCTCTTGAATGACTATGCCCTACTTCCAGTGATCAACATGGAGCAAGCCCAACACCTGATGATGGCCTACAAGTCACCCGAATATGCCCAGCACCGGCGCATCACGAAGAAGACCGATGTCTGGTGCTTGGGGATCATAATCTTGGAGGTGTTGACAGGCAAGTTCCCAGAGAACTATCTCAAGCAGAGCTTCGACAGCAGAGCGGATTTGGCCAGCTGGGTTAACGGAATGATCAAAGAGAAGAGGACCAGCGAGGTGTTTGATGTGGAAATGGGGGGTGTGGGGAGCAGCAAAGGAGAGCTGCTGAAGCTGTTGAAGATTGGTGTGAAATGTTGTGAGGAGGATGTGGAGAGAAGGCTGGATTTGAATGAAGTGGTTGAGAAGATTGATGAGCTGAATGAGGGAGAAAGTGATGGAGATTATCGATCAAGTGTTTCGAGTGAAGGAGATGATTATACCTCTCAAGTTGTGTGATTGCAGAAGAGAAATGATGAGGACTTTTGGTTCCAAGTATTGCTGGCTGGTTGGGACTTAGAGAAACCATGTTGTAAATTAGAAGAATATTATTTATATATGTGCAGGGGCTACTAGGTTTCAGCTAGCTTCATTCCCATGAGTTGAAGCATGTGGCAGGGAGAGATTTGAAATTTAAAGCAATGAAGAAATTAATTTGTTTTTGTTTGTGTGTCATTGTTTTTTTCTTTTGCCCCATTTCTTTTGGATTAGGAAGTGGGGTTGTATTTGTAGGTGTTGGGGATGATGGCTCTTGTATCATCTTGGTGTAATGGGAATTAATTAGTTGATAAAACTAGTCATCAGATATGCTCTCTCTCTCTCTCTCTCTCTCAATTCCTTTTGTTTTTGTTCTTTTTTTGTCAAACTCTCTTTAAATTCGGGCACTGCGTGTCTGTGTGTTCCTATTTGAAACCAATGACCTGTGTTAGACTTGGAATCAACTCAAAACGTATTCATATTGTCCATTTTTCTTAATAATTTTACACTTTTAAGACTTGATTGTTACCTACATAAATAAAATTGCCAAACTTAAATGAAGGTATATCAAAGTGAAAAGTTTGGTCAAACTACAGAGATCAAGAATGTAATTTGGTAGCAAGGGACTTGTAGTAGCTCAAGTGGTTAAGAATATTTTCCCCGCATCTTAACTCCTAAATTCGATTTCTCTTCTTTCAAAGAAATGGAAAAATGTTTAACTGAATGAGTTTGAAGATGATGTGTACTAGTATGTGCTTAAATCGTGGCTGAACTTACGATCCACCACCCATTTACCACCCCACTGAATGAGTCAATTTGACTTGAGCCAAAGTTCATGATTATTCTTGGCCGGTAAATATCCATTTACAAAACCATACGGATGAATAGAGAAAACTAATCATGAAGTTAATAGTGGTTATATTTTTTAGTTAAAAAAAATCTTAAATTCAATTCCTCCTAGATTTGGCAATAAAAAAAAAAAAAAAGTTCAATAATTCTAACTCTTTTTTTTTTCCTTCTGCCAATTTATGCTCGACTCTTTATTCGACCCAAAATGCGTGAGTCATTTCACATGCAAAAAGGGTTCAAATTGTTGAGTTTTCAAAACTTGGATGAAAAAAGTTGATAGGTCATTCTGCCCTAAAAATAGTGTGTTGTGGAAAAGGGGAGGGGGGGAATCTCATTGTCTATGCTTAGATCTTCTACTTTTGGCAGCCGACTATGTTATTGTGAGGCTTCTATATACTTAGTCTTTTTTCTTTTTGATCTGAATTGTGAGGCTTCTATTTTAAAAAGCCAAAATAGAGAAACCGCCAGGTTTTGAACCAAAAAAGAAGAAGGAAAAAAAGTAAAAGTTCTGTGCCTGTGGTGGCTCATAAATTCTTGTAAATAGCAAATTCTAAGGTGGTCAAGTTTGATAAGGGACAAGAGGTTTGAGGCATCAAGATTTCTGGGCCACTTTGTACAGAACATGGAAGAGTTTCTACTTGATTAGTTTGTGTCCTAGCAATATTCAGTTTTTCATAGTTAGAGCTTTTGAAGAAAATGTGGCAAGCAAAAGGAGGAAATGGGACAAAGAAAGGAGCAGGAGGAGGAGGAGCAGCAGGAAATGGTTTGGTGGCAGTTGCCATAGACAATCAGAAAGGGAGCCAAAATGCACTGAGATGGGCTGCTGAGAATGTTATCACCAGAGGCCAAACTGTAATTCTACTGCATGTTGTTCAGAAGTCATCTTCAACATCTTCATGTAATCTCTCTCTCTCTCTCTCTCTCTCTCTCTCTCTCTCTCTCTCTCAAGTAACCAGAAGAGTAACTTGCTATTAAGATAATCTAAAAGTTCATAACCATTGTAATATAAAAACAGTTATATTATATATGCCTGGAATTCACAAAGCAACTTCAACATATCAGATACGTTCTGATTTCAATTTGTCCTATCCAAGAATACATGCACAGGTATATTATATATGCCTGGAATTCACAAAGCAAGTTCAACATATCAGATACATCTGTGATTTCACAATTTATATTGTCTCTTCTCACCTCTGGAGCTAATTCAATTTTCAATGCAAGGCCAAGTTACAACTTCTTTTTTTGGTACAGTGGCTGGAAACAATGCCCTTATATGTGATGTAAGCAATCCATCTCAATCGCCACGCAAACAGCAGCTTGAGAAGATGACCAAGGATCTGTTTCTTACCTTCCATTGCTATTGTACGCGTAAGGATGTAGGTTTCGAAGCTCTACCTTCGTAAATTTTGGTCCATGAGCATCCTGCATAAAAAGGCTTAATTTACAATTCACCATTTGGAGCACATCCTTAAAATTTCTTACACATAATCATATCGATAATCACGACAGCTTTATCAATCGGTTTTATATATGTTACTCTTTGATTGTTTGCTCATGTAAATTTATTTTCTCAGATAAATTGCCTTGATATCGTACTTGAAGACGCGGATATAGCAAAAGCAGTAACAGAGTATGTTTCTTATGCTGCAATTGAGAATCTGGTTCTGGGAGCTCCAGCAAAGCATGGATTTATCAGGTAATGGCCTCATTCAATAAATCTGGTTTTGAGATTCTGTGTTTTCTTGGACACATTTTGGATAGAAATATATGTTTATACTTGTAAAGACTCGTTTAGTTTGCTAATACTCAATGATTTTCTCACGCAGATTCAAGACATCAAGTATTCCAAGTAGTGTATCGAAAGGGGCACCTGATTTCTGCACTGTATATGTCATCTCCAAAGGGAAGATCTCCTCGGTGCGAAATGCTTCTCGTGCAGCACCATACAGTTCTCCACTAGTTAACCAAATAGATTCATTAAATAAGCAAAGTTTTAAACCACCTGAAACACCTAGATACAACAATATGTATTTAAAAGGTTTGTATCTCTCAGTTATTATGCTTTCTTGAAAACTGATTTTGGATGAACAGTACTCTAAATGCAATATCTTTGTCCTCAAAATCTAGCAGCTAGACCGTCGTTCAAGCCTCGTAACTTGCAAGATGAAGCAAACAGGCAAGTTAAACAGACAATGCCTTAGTGTTATGCTATTATGTATGAAAATAGATGCTGTGTAATTTACCATAGAAACTGATACCACCATCCTGAATTGAAACAGATTGGGATTAACAAGAGGAGGTTTTAGTAATGGGAGGATTAGTGGAGGATTCTCAGAATCGGAAAGCGACATATCATTCATAAGCTCGGAAAGGGCAAGCACTGACCGTGCTTCTTCTGTGACGTATGATTTTATGGATACAAACCGAGGACGGCTATCTACTAGCTCAGATCAGAGCGTCGGGTCAATGCGTCAAGGACCTAAGTTCGCAGACCTCAGTTCTCTGCATGATTTTTCATCGGTTTCACATGAAAGCAACCTAACATCATCTTCATGGTCATCACAGAACCTGGTAAGGACAGGATATACTCAGCTCAACCTATATCAAGTGTCCTTTCTTGCACATTATCTAGCTAGATGTTTTTTTTCACTGCATTTCTAAACTTGTGCAGGACGAAGTCGAATCTGAGATGAGGAGACTAAAGCTAGAGCTGAAGCAAACAATGGACATGTACAGTACAGCATGTAGAGAAGCACTTTCAGCTAAACAGAAGGTGATAAGGAGTCTACATTTACCTTCTGCATTTTCAAGATTCCATTTAACTTTGTGTCCCCCACAGGAAATGGAGCTGCACAATTGGAGGGTCGTAGAGGAGCAAAAACTAGAGGAGGCACGACTGGGTCAAGAAACTGCAATAGCAGTTGCAGAGAAAGAAAGAGTTAGGTGCAGGGCAGCCATGGAAGCAGCTGATGCTGCTAAAAGAATTGCACAGTTGGAATCACAGAAACGAGCAAATACAGAAATAAAGGCCCTCAGAGAAGCAGAGGACATGAGGAAACTATTAGATAATCTAGCCCAAACCGATGACAAATACAGAAGATATGCTATTGAGGAGATTGAGCAAGCAACAGAACACTTTGCCCCATCTCGAAAAATTGGGGAAGGAGGTTATGGTCCTGTCTTTAAGTGCTATCTTGATCACACACCAGTTGCAGTAAAGGTCTTGCGTCCGGATGCTGCTCAAGGAAGGACACAGTTTCAGAAAGAGGTGAGTACCGAGATCCTTGCTTAGAAAATATGATCTACTAAATTTTCTTTGCCTTGGTTGCATGCTTAAAAAAATTGCAATAAAAACTTGGCTTGTTCTTTTTCTACAGTTGAAGAAAAAAGGAAAACAATAAGGCCAAGCATAAGTGTTCTTTTTGCTAATTTGTATGGTAAACTAACAAAGAACTCAGTTTTAAAACCTGATACCTTGTGGAGATCAACAAACAGAACGAAATTGATCAAGACAGTTAAAAATCTAAAATAGTTAGAAACTTACTATATTTAGGGAAAATGTAACAAAAAATGGCAAGATTCTAGAACCGAAAAGGGTGAGAACTCAAAATCACTCGAATAAGATTCTTAACAAAACTAAAGGTTAAGATTTCAGAAACAAACCCAAATAAACTCCAGTAGGATTCAAGAACCAGAAAAGGTAAGATCTCACAATGCCCGCTGCATCAATGTCTCTAAATCCAAGTGGTACTTTGGTACCTGACAGTATTTCACATTCAATTCCATATACATTTCATGCAATGAAATAGAAGCTCCATATACAGATTCTTTTCCAACATGCTTTATTCTCTTACTTCTTGTTCTAAATTGCTTCCACCAAACATATAACGGTAAAAGATATGATATGGATAATTTTTTATCTAATCTCTTCTGTCATGATCCAAATGCAGATTGACATACTTAGCTGCATTCGACATCCCAACATGGTACTACTTCTAGGAGCCTGCCCAGAGTATGGCGTTTTAGTCTATGAATATATGGCCAATGGAAGCTTAGAGGACTGTCTCATAAAGAGAGGGAACAATCCAGCTCTTTCTTGGCAACTCAGGTTCCGAATCGCTGCTGAGATTGCCACAGGGCTCCTCTTTCTTCATCAGACCAAGCCAGAACCCTTAGTGCACCGTGACCTCAAGCCCGGCAACATTTTGCTAGATCACAACTATGTGAGCAAGATTAGTGATGTTGGATTGGCCAGACTTGTCCCAGCTGTTGCTGAAAATGTGACACAGTGCCTCATGACAGCAACAGCTGGAACATTCTGCTATATTGATCCTGAGTATCAACAGACAGGAATGCTTGGTGTAAAATCTGATGTCTACTCCTTCGGCATTATTCTTCTCCAATTGCTAACAGGTAGATCGCCGATGGGCTTGGCTCACCATGTCGACAAGGCCATTGAAAAGGACACATTTGAGAAGATGCTGGACCCAGCTGTCCCTGACTGGCCAGTGGAAGAAGCCTTAAGCCTTGCAAAGCTAGCAATCCAATGTGCAGAACTCAGACGAAAAGACAGGCCAGATCTTGGCACTGTGGTACTGCCATCACTAAATAAATGGAGAGAACTTGCTGAAGATAAGATGAACCACAAGTTATTAGACGGAAATAATGGTCTTTCCCCACATCACAGTCATGTTCCCGATCAACAGGTAAGTCGAAAAACTGAAAAACTTAGAAGCATTTGGTGCTGACTATGAGATCATTGCATAAGTTTACCTAGAAAATCAAACAGAAATTCTCCACCTTCTCTAAGATGCTTGGTATTAAAAATTTAGTTAAGACTAAAACAAATGGAAAATCAAGTAGGCTCATTCAAGTGCCAAAAAAACCAACATGAATCACATTATTTTAGCTCATATATTAGGACTTCGATGTGATCAATGATCATCAACCTTAACTAAAAGAACTAGAAAAAAGCACATGTATACGTGGTTCTACCGGTTTTCGATTAATGAGGAAGGTATTTGACATTGTAGAGTATCTTTTGCAGGAAGTGATGAGTGATCCACAGCTCAATAATTCAGGAACCTCAAAGAGCCAATCAAGCACATCTTCACAGACAGAAAATCAAGCAGAAGCAGGTATAGAGTGACATAAACAATTTTGACAAGAAAACATGAAGAACTAAATTTAACGGTTTTCGATTTACTTTGTTTCACAGGGCCAACTGAAACTGAATAATGCTAGAAGGTCAGGTGAGTTCCATGATGCAACATTGCTCCAGTGACCTCATTAGGTTAATTGGCACTTTGTTTTCTCAATTTTTTTTTTAATTGAAATTTTGGGTCCCAGAATGTGGGCTTCAGTGAGAAAGATACATGGGCATCAGAGACATCAAATTCAAAGTCTCAAGACAGCCTGAAATTTTGTTGTCATGTAAATATGATTGGCATTCAAGTGTACATGTAAATATACATATTATCAACAACAATGAGTATAACAAAGTTGTAAATTTCAAACATGCGTCTAAAAAAGCAACCTAAAAAAAAAAATCAACAATGACAGACAAGTACCTTTTTTAAAACCCAATTTCTGAACATCATCAAATTATGGATAGTCATTTCCACAAGAAAAACACCACTTCGGTTACTTCATCCTTATTTTGTACAACCCGGGCAATGTTCTTCTTTCCCTTGATGGGCTGCATAAATCAGGCACCATTTCAATTTTGAGGGCTTTTAATTGCAACAAAAAAATTGAGGGCTTGTTATAGAAAAAAAAATATTCCCATTTTGCCGAAAATTTCCAAATTAACCCATATCTTCACATTTTCCAACATTTGTTTTTTAAATTTTACAATGATTTCCAAATTAAACCTAAGGAACAAACATTCTAGGCCTATAATGATGTGGCCCAATGGACAGTCATGGGGGTCCCAAGTACATAAAGGCTCAACTTTCAGAACCCATTCCATGAAATAAAAGATGGGCTTGAAGTTATCTTCCCCTGTTCTTGGAAGCAAAACTCTTGAATTTTTGCTTACAATAATAAAACTCTTGTTGAATTAACGTAAGCAGTAGAATACTCTAATTAACAATGGTATTATTTCATTTTCAGATATCCTCAACTGTAAAGAAAGTAAGAAACGTGGCACCTTCAAAGTAGGGACGTGTCGTGTTCATAACAAACGGTGGCTGCAAGTGTGAAGTTTCTAGTGGATTAATTTTCAATTTCACTTTTTACCTTCCTATTTCTACCAAATTAAGGAACATTCCCAGATTTTCTGATCTTTCTCATGTCAGCAAGAAGATAACTAGTTCTAGCGTTATCAGAAAGTGTTTGTTGTTGCACAAGGAAGGAACAATGGGACAAGGCGATGAAGTCAAGACCAGAGCTGATGCCCAAGTTGAAATTCAGGTTCCTTTGTTTGTGTTTGAATGCATGACATGCCAAAACTGAGTTTTCTTTTCTTAAATCACATGACATGACATGAAAGTTGAAGTTAAATGTTGATTCTTCTGATTCAAATATTATGTTGGTTTGTTTTGTTGTGACAAATTAAATGGCAGGAGAGAGGGGAAATATTCTTCTTCTACAGGCCAAAAGTTAACAAGAAGGAAGCTCACAGCCCAGTTGATGTTCAACGTTTGTACATAGTTTTAAGGCCAGAGTCAGGTGAGAGGTCAATTGAGGAGAAGCAAGACCCTGATTCAGGAAAAGAAGGTGCAAAGAAGAAGGGACCAAATTCTGGTGAAAAAGGTTCTGGTGGTGGTCAAAGTAGTGAAGGTGGGCATGGAAGGCAGGGAGTGAACATTGAGAAGCAACCATTGCTGAGGTTCATAGTGATGGGAAGGAAAAGCCTTCCTGACCCAAGCAAGAAAGGCAGACCCTATTGGGGTTTTGTTGAGATGGTCACCACAAATATAGATGATGTGAAAACTGCTCTTCAAGGAGGTACAAAATTTCCCATTTTAACTTTTTACCATATTAATCCCATTTTAATTTTGCATAGATTACTATTTCTATATGATAAGATCCTCATCTTGGTTTTCAACTTGTTGGGTTTAGTGTTTTTAATTTTGTTTAGTGATCAGGATTTTAATTAAAAGAGATAATCATCACTACCATGTGGTGATACTAATTCACTCAAATTAAACATGTGGTGGCGATCCCACAGTATATATAACATGTGTGAATTGTTAACATAGTGTAGGTATTACAGTCACACCGAAAAGTTACTCGTAATTTTGGATGTAAGCACAATATCAGCCTGAGAAGCATAAGTAGAAATCAGAACTCATTGTATATACATGTTGTATGGCAGAGGAGTATGACACTAAAACCGAAGGGCACAGACACACTTCTGCAGCAAGGGCATTAGGAGAAGGCATATACCGCATTGTGAGGCATAAGGAGGGGAAGAGGAAACCCCACACTCATTTGATTTACAAGCTTGAGTTCCCACCAGAAGATGAGAACAATGAGCCTCAAGAGTCACTTAACATTAAACATGAAGGCTCATTTCATGTTCAAATAAAGAACCCGGATCAACATGGCAGCAGGAGTACTTCTCAGTTCAGAGGGCTACAGAACAACCGCAGGGCTATGTTTCCTGCCCACCTGCAAGGCCAGTTTGGGAATTTAAGGTACTGCCCAGCTGATCCACCTGACTTCTTGAACTATGAAGGATGTGAGTTCTTGCTCATATCGGCTTCGGATGATATAGAAGAGGAATTAGGGCTGGAGCTGCAGACAGAGGGGGAAGCAGTTGAATCTTGTTCTGATTTGATCAAAACTTTTGGGGAGACTGCATCTACCAGTTCTCTTCTGAGAGGCACTTGGGTTTGAAAAAGAGGGGGCTTGAAAAAGAAAATGGTACCATGCATAGTTGTAGTTTGTTGTGTGTAACTTTTGAAGCACTTTGTGGGCACCTGGCCTGTAGTTTGTAGATTTGTGCAGTTTGTGCGACCAACTCTATTGCTGCAGATATAGGGTGACCATGTGTTTTGTGAATCAGTGGTTCAATTATTTTTGTAAAAGCAAGCCACGAGTTGGTAAGTGCAAAGAAAGTTGAAACTGGGTTGGTTCTGTAGCTCAAAGCAATAGCTGGTAAAAGTGTTTAAATATGCTGGAAGAACAAATTTCATCAGAAAAAGACACAAAAACTAGTATGTCCTCATGCAATAAACAGTTTTCGTAGAGAGAATAGCTGACTCAAATCTTAACAATCCAATAGATTATATGTTTTTGGTGTAATTATCCAAAAGAGGTTTTTATCTTTCCTTTTTTCCTAACAAAAATACACAAATACGAACCACTCAAAAGCAGAGCTCCTCCTAGGATCAAAACTTGTGAGTTTTGACAAAAGATAGGACACAAAATTAAACCAAACTGAAAATAAAACCTTGGTGACAACAATTAATTTCAATCATAACTTGTTTCTTTTATAAATATATATATATATATATTTTTGTGGAAAGATTGTTTTATAAATATTGGCTTTTGTCTCATTGCAGCAGAAGTCCCGCCAAAGGGATATCTAACTTACTTACCAAAATTCGACCAAAAATACAAACTTGCCCAAAAAAGTGAGCTTTAGCTCAATCCAAAACAAAAGGATGAGAACTTGCTCTGTTGAGTTTCAGGGTTTTAGGGTTTAAGAAACTCTGTTTCTATGTATGGATGTGATTCCTCTAACCATGTCCTCCTCCTCCAAATTCCTCCAAATCCCCACAAACCTCACCTTAACTTTCAAACTTACCTCATCCCCAAACAAACCCACAAACCCATCTCTCCTCCCCAACCCATCAAACCCCATTCTCACTCTCAGACTCCACCTGACCCACAAACCCAAAAACCCAATTTTCCACACGCCCTCCAAAACCTATCACCACCTTCACCATCCCCTGTTTTCCACACCACCCAACAGCCCTGCACCTCCGCCAGACCACCAATCGGAGCAATTCAAAGCTGCCCAAGACGCTCTTTTGGAGTTTCTTCAAGAATTTGGGGTTTCTGAGACAGAAGCCGCCTTTGTTTCGTCGAATTCGCCGAGGTATTTGCGGATGTTGGTCGATGGGGTTTTGGAGTTGGATGAGCTTGGGCTGTGGAGAGAGCGGGAGAGAAAGGAGGGGAGAGAATTGGTTGGGTTTAAAGAAAAGGTGAGGTATTTAGCCAAGGAAAAAGGTGACAATGGAAAAGTTGCGTTTTTGGAGAGTGTGGTTGGGTTGAGTCTTTCTTCGGCTATGAATCTTGCCAGGTATTTATCAGCAGAGACACTTCCGAGACTCGCTGAGAAGGTAAGGGCATCGCAATTCATAAAATAATAATAATAATTTGTTGAAGTTTTGGTCGACAATTGTGAGAAAATTGTTTTAATGGAAGTGAATGTAATTTGTTTATGTTATGGTAAACAAGTAATTGGTACTTAGGATTGCTTTTTCAACTTTTTTGAGTTCAGTTCTTGTTTCACGAACAAGTCATTGAATTTATTGGTTTCTTTTATGTGAACAAGGTTGTGAATCTTGTGATTATGGTGAACTAGTTATTGGTATTTGGGACAATTTGGGACAATTTGTGAGAAACAGTCTAGTGGAAGTTATTTATTGGGTTATTTTATGTCAATCATTTGATTGGGAGAAGGGTGAAGTATATTTCTCATCTGTGGAGCGTAGTGAAAAAAGAACATATTTTTTATATAGCATGACAAAGGAAGGCAAGACTTGTTGGAGTTACGTATTGTCGGAAGTGATGGCATATTTTTCAGTTTTAATAGCTTATCTATGGCAATGCCCTCTTATCCACACTCAATATTACAAATCCTGTACTATAAAAATTATGTATTATTTTTCTCTGGAAATCTTTTTGATGTGACCCAAAATTCTTTGAAGTTTGTATGAGAGCATTATTAACATCATTGTGCATTCTTCATCATGTTTTGACATGGAGAGAGCTCACTGGAAAGTATGAGTAAAATGACTTCCACTAGACTGTTTCTCACAAATTGTCCCAAATACCAGGCTGCATACATAGATGACATTACAGAATGGGAAAGTGTGCAGCCTGATTATTTTATAGTACATAAACCTTTGAAATGACTTCGTGAGTTTATAACTTCGTAATCAAGGACGCAAGATGAATTAGGACCCTATAACTGTAAAAGTGGAAATCTTATGACATGGACAAGACCCAGGAATTTGGTATTGATTCTCTAATGTCATATGAATGCAGAAATGAAATTATTCTTCAGATCTGTTGCAGAATTTTTTCTTATT